TTTTATGTGCATGGGAGCTCCATAGAAAAGAAATAAAAACCCAAATAAGTGGCTAGTCTTGGGGCCTTAAGTACTATTTCAACAAAAAGTGGTAAATTGTTGAGAAATGACTAACAAAGAAGAGGGGGTTTGGGCTTTTAGAGCCAATAAATTGTAGGAAGGTAAATATCTGGGGGAAAAAAACAGTGAAGGTAAATGTCATTTTGTAAGGTTTGTTTATGCAGACATCTCAGCACCATCTCTATCTCCAGAAATAAAGGTTATTCTTTATGTCCTGGTACAGGAGACAACACTATCATAAGATAATGTTATGCTCTCCTTTTAGGCAAATAGGGGGAAAATAGCTTTTCCTGTGTCTGCTTTTTCTTAATTACCCTCAGCTCAAAACAATCAATGTGCCAAAGTAGCATATTTTGGGGTGGCATATTTCTGTTCCCCTTTAGCTTTTTCATATATCTAAGATCTTCCAGATTATTAAACCATATTTTTAAATCCATATTCTTTTTAAAGATGTTCTTCAATCACCATGTCCTGTCTTCCCTGTCCTGACTTGAGCCAATAGCTTTCTAGGACTCTTTTTAATATCTAACAACTTAAAATTTATTTTCATTTCTTTCTTCAGGCAGTTCTTCTGTTCTGTTGAATTCTTCTTCCTTTTGCTGCATTACATCCCCCAGTCAGTCGTTAAATATCTTATTGTACCTTCATTCGCAAATAAGAGTTTGGCTGCATATAAATTTAGGTTCAAAATAATTTTCCTTGAGAACTTTGAAGTTTTCCTTCTCTGTCTTTTAGCATCAATGTTACTAATGAAAAGAGTGATGACAATCTTATGTGCTTTTTTTGGGTAGGTATCCTGTTGATTCACTCTGTAAGCCTTACACTAGGATTTTTTTATTTTATTTTTAATATTTTGAGACAGGGTCTCGCTACATTGGCTAGGCTGGTCTCAAATTTCTTACCTTAAGATATCCTCCCACCTCGACCTCCCAAAGTGCTGGGATTACAGGTGTGAGCCACTGCACTCAGCCTACACTAGGAATTTAAAATTTTCCACTGAGTATTTCTTGAAACATGGTATTTTCCATCTAAAAAGAGTTTCTCTAGTTCAGATAAATTTTATTTTTCTTTTTTTTTTTTTTTTTTTTTTTTTTTTTTTTTTTTTTTTTTTTTTTTTTTTTTTTTTTTTTTTTTTTTTTTTTCCTTTATGTTTTCTCTAGTTCAGATAAATTTTATTTTTCTATTTATTTGGTTATTTTCCCCCGTTTATCTTCTTTTTTTTCAATACCTTTTGGGGAACAGGTGGTATTTGGTTACATGGATACGGACTTAGTGCTGATTTCTGATATTTTGGTGCATCCAGCACCTGAGCAGTGTACACTGTACCCAATGTCTTTCATCCCTCACGCCCCTCCCACCCTGCCCATTGGGAAACTCAGAGTCCATTATATCATTCTTATGCCTTAGCTTAGCTACCACTTATAAGTGAGAACATAGGATGTTTGGTTTTCCATTCCTGAGTCACTTCTCTTAGAGTAATGGTCTCCAACTCCATCCAGGTTGCTGTGAATGCTGTTATTCCATTCCTTTTTACGACTGAGTAGTATTCCATGGTGTATATGTATGTATACATATAAAATATGTATACACACACACACACACACATACATACCACATTTTCTTTATCCACTTGTTGGTTGATGGGCATTTAGGCTGGTTCCATATTTTTGCCGTTGTTTTTACATTTTGAACTAGTTACATATTAATAGCTCTCTAAAACTATCCTGCATCTCGCCAACTCTCTCAGATTTTTCCTTTTCTGTCATTCTCTACATCCTGAGCTATTTTCTCAACTTTATCTTCCAGACTACTAATTTGTTTTCAGCCCTATTAATGATTCCATTCTATAAATTTTTAAAATTTGTTTGGAGAATCAATTGTTTAATTTCTCAAGACCCCTTTCATGTTGTTTGCTTGCTCCTTTTTCATAGAAGCCTGTTCTTATTTATAAATGCGCTATCCCCTCACATCTTTCTGAGGGGACTCATTCAACTTTTTAGTGTCTCTGAAAAAATTGATAATTCTTGGTTGCTTGGTACATGTTTTGTTGTTGGGTATTTTTTGGTTTTGTTTTGTTTTGTTTTGTTCTGAGACAGAATCTCGCTCTATTTCCCAGGCTGGAGGGCAGTGGTGCAATCTCCACTCACTGCTGCCTCCGCCTCGTGGGTTCAAGCAATTCTTCTGCCTTAGCCTCCCAAGTAGCTGGGATTACAGGCGTGTGCCACCACGTTTGGCTAATTTTTTATATTTTTAGTAGAGATGGGGTTTCACCGTGTTGGCCAGATTGGTCTTGAACTCCTGACCTCAGGTGATCCACCCACCTCTGTCTCCCAAACTGCTGGGATTACAGGCATGAGCCACTGGGCCTGGCCAGTAATTTTTTAATAAAAATGATATTGTTGGCCGGGCTCAGTGGCTCATGCCTGTAATCCCAACACTTTGGGAGGCCAAGGCAGGTGGATCATTTGAGGTCAGGAGCTTGAGATCAGCCTGGCCAACATGGTGAAACCCTGTCTCTACTAAAAATACAATAATTAGCCAGGTGTGGTGGCGGGTGCCTGTAATCCCAGATATTCAGGAGGCTGAGCTCAAGAATGGCTTTAACCCAGGAGATGGAGGTTGCAGTGAGCCGAGATCGTGCCACTGCACTCCAGCCTGGGTGACAGAGAGAGAGTCTGACTCAAAGAAAAACAACGACAAAAAAAAAAAGTATATTGTTGATTGGCATGGGTAATTAACAAAGTTATTTTTTGAAATTTGGAAAAACAGTTTACTCATAAGACCCATTGCTGAATGGGGGACTAAATCCCCATTTTCTGAAGCAAAGAAGCTTCCTTTTAAGAAGTGTGGAGAGTTCATCTTGCATCCTCATTAACTACCAGTGAGGAGGACTTTGCCTTGGGTGGTGACATTTTGCAGTGCATGTCACTCTGAGACGGGGCTACCTCTCCCTTCCTCCTCCCCAGTGTTGCATGGAAGGTCCTGAGCTATCTCAGGCTTTGTGCCTGGAGCCCCATTAGAGGCATTCCTGGGAAGTTCTTCTACTCTAGTATCTCCAGCAGGGAGCAAATGTAGCCAGCTTCTCCCGAAACCTAGGAAGAGGAGAGGAGGCACTAATCTAGTGCCTAATTAGTCTTCTAATCAGTGTTTTCTAATTCCTCGACACTCCAAGTGCAATCTCAGGTCCCACCACAGAACTACTGAATCCAACTCTGTACAGAATCCCTGGTGATTCAGGAGCACTTCCAAGTCTAAGAAGCACTGCTCCTCAGCTGCTGTCCATTCCTGAGCCTCAAGCTTAGGACCTCTGGGCTCTGCCAGGAGGAGTCTCTCCCACCTTTTCTCAACTTCTCCTCTCAGCCTGTTCCTGGCTGTCCCTTCAATATGATCTACTTTCCTTTTTTGGTATATAAATAACTCTGACTTATGAAATAATATAGTGAGCACTTATATGCCCATCAACTGGCTTAAAAATGAAACCCTTGTGGACACCCTCACCCCAATTCTGTCTTTCGTCAATTCTGAGCACAGTACAGCAGGGGTGTGGAAGCCCCAAGCCAGGACACACCAGTCCCGTGGGACTCTGCTGCAGTGTAGGCACAGAATGGAGTGGTGCCTCCGCTGCTGTGGGGACCTGAGACTGCATGGATGGCCTGGGAGGAGTTCAGTCTCAGATCTGTAGGGGCTGGAACAAAACTAGGGAAGTTCTAGCTCGACTGCTAAGACTCAGACAGTGTTATAACAACTGACAGATGGAATAGTGCTGGTTGGAGGAAAAGCATTTGCTCAAATAGGCATTAATGAGGCTGCCTTGTGAGCTCAGGAGGAGTTTGAGAGATCCAAAAGACCCAGAAGTAGGGAAATGGCCTCCAGGATGTCTGCCAGCCGGAAGCAGGCCTCTGGGCAGGCAGGACCCAGGGCCAAGACAGGAACCAACAAGAGCAGGGCTGACTCTGAGCCCTGGAGAGAACAGTCTCCTGGACCAAGACAAGCCGGTGGAAGGTGGCTGTGCAGGCACAGGGAGCAAGGAGTCAGTTGCTAGAATTTGGAATCAAGATATGGTTTGGGTCTCAGGAATAAGGATGAGCTTCGGCCAGCCCATTTACAAGAGTGAAGATGCAGATTCCTAGAGACTGGAGTTGCTGAAATTCCTCCTGCTGATGTTCAAATTGGTTCTTCACTAAAGTGATTCAGGTCAAGGGGACTCAACTGAGGAAGAGAAGAGGCGAGGAAAGGAAAAGGGAAGGTAGAATCTAGAGCCAGGTATCATCCAACACCATCACTTGATCTGAAAGGGGCTGGCTTTTATTTCTCAGCATTTGCAAGTAAGCCAATATATCTGAAATCCTAAGCAAAATTATAAAGCTTGGTCTTCCCCTCTCATCACCCTCAACCACACACACACAAACCATGGAACAAATACCCCAGAGCACCAGGAAGACTTTGTTCCCTTCCCAGAACTTGCTTTGAGCACCTTCTGTATGCCAGGCACTATGCTATGAATTGAGACTCTTCAGAGTGCAGTTCCAGCAGCCTTGGCCTTCGACACTCCTGTCCAGTTACGGAGACAGACATGCAAACAGATCACTCCCATCGGTGTAGGAAGGCCCATGCTGGAGGTGTTCCTGAGTAGCACGACTACTGAGCAAGGGCCTTAAAGTGGAGGTGGGTAGGAGAGAGGATAGGGGAGGCAAAACAAGAAGGAAACTTGGAGGGGAGATGCAACACCATGTGTGCCAGGAACCACAGGTACTTCACTGCTTCCTGAGCACCAGCTAAGGCAAGTGGAAGCGGGTGAGAGATCATGGGTTTTGGAACCTGAAAGTCCTGGGTTCAAACCGTACCTCTACCCATACCATGTGTGTGACCTTGGTTATGTTGCTCGACCTCTATAAACCTCAGTTTTCTCCTGTGATCATTTGGGGATCCAAAAAAGAAAAAAGCATTTGAAATCTTTATTACTTAGTAAAACGTCCATATTCCTAAGAGGATGGGGATAAGGAGGAATGCATTCAAAAATAAGATACATGCCATACTGGTTACTAAAATTGTTTAACATTTATTGCTTCTTTTGGAGTTAGTAAGTTGTAAGCCTCACTAGATGCACACACTAAGAAATGGAATTGATTGGACTTGACCATAGGAATAGATCAAACTATGTCCTCTTCTTGTTCCAAGTTTCCTCCAAAAGTGGTAGTTATTTTGTTTTTCTTCATCCTTGTAGAGATACATTTAGTAGAGCTTACCACATAAGCTTCCCCTAACAAATTCCAAAGACATCCACTGCCTCCTTATGTAATGAGGTACAATCAAAGATCAATTAGCCATGCTAGTGGTTAATAGACAAGGAGAACATCTCCAAAGATGGCAAATTATGGCTCTTTGTTTCTTTTGGGGTTTGTAGCATTTTTTTTTTAAAGACAAGGTCTTACTCTGTCCCACAGGCTGAAATGCAGTGGCATGATCATGGCTCACTGCAGCCTCAACAGCCCGGGCTCAAGTGATCCTCCCACCTAAGACTCCCAAGTAGCTGGGGCTATAGGCAGAGGGCACAACACCCAGCTAATTTTTAAATTTTTGGTAAAGACAGGATTTCACCATGTTGCCTAGGCTGATCTCGAACTCCTGAACTCAAGTGATCCGCCGCCTTGGCCTCCCAAAGTGCTGGGATTATAGGCAGGAGGCACTGTGCCTGATTGTAGATTTTTTTAAAATTTACCATATACTTGCAAATGAAATAATCTGATTGTCTGGAGGTTCCGAAGAGTTCAATGAAGATGATGAAAGAAACACTATAAAAACATAACCTGGGAGGAGCTTGACAACTGTTTGGCATCATTGTTCTGTCTTCCTACTTAGAAGTCTTTTCTTCTGAGTCCACATTGAAAATAGACAGTATCTCTTCACTAGTGGGTAAAATTACTAAGAACTGAGGATAAGCTAGAGATATCCTTCTGCCAAGTCAAGGCATAGCTGGAATTCATGCCGTGATTTTCATCCAACACGTTGAACAACTGATCCCAGCAGCCAGGCATCGGCCATAGTGGCTCCACCATTAGCAAAGATCAGTGTTTAACGGTGATGGTTTTGATCTCAGTGAAGAAGTCGTAAGAGTCCTTGGCTCCTTCTCTACCTATTCCAGAACTCTTCATCCCCCCGAAAGGAAGGTTCAGCTCCCTGATGAGCCAGCAGTTGGTCCAGACCAAGCCAGACTGCAGCTTCTTAGCCACCCGGTGGACACGTCCCACATTGCTGGACCACACAGTAGCTGCCAGCCCATACTTAACGTTGTTGGCTCTTTCAATCACCTCCTCTTCGCTATCAAAGGGGACGACACACGTCACTGGACCAAATATCTCTTCCGTCATGCAGCAGGATTCATCCTTAATGTCTGTTATCACCGTGGGAAGCATGAAGTAGCCTGCCTGGCTCCTGGCGGGGAGGTTCAACTTATCCACCCCCTCCCCGCACCAAATCTGGGCACCTTCAGCAAGAGCTCTCTTGACGTAACTTCTGACCTGCGTGGGTAAAAATCATAATTAACAATGTCTTACCATGTGGCTTCACACAAATCAGCAGAAAAGTCAATGTTTTCTAATCGGCTCAGAAGGTCATTCCTAAGAAATCTAGGGTCAATTATCTTATCACTCAGCTGCTAAGCAGGAGGGCAGAGGTGCTCCAAGCATCATTTGGGCATTCACCTTTCATACATAAGTGAGGGAAGTAATTATTTAATGTCTAAGTGCCAGGAACTCAGATAAGTGCTTTTCATACAATCTCAGTTGATTGCCTCAAAACATTATTAGCTATTGTTAATCTATTATTATCTTCTATTTGCTGATAGTATAATTGAGTGTGAAAAATATAAATGGTTCATAGAGCTAATAAACAGTAAAGTTAGAATTCACACTCATGTATATTCTGTAGCTAAATACACGAAGAATATTTTCTCCCTTTTTGGAAGCTATGTCCATTGCAGAAAATGGGAAGAAAAAGATGTGTAAGATTTAGTTAAAGGCCAGAATGCCCTTTAATAGATGAGCTTCCAGAACAAATCATTTCTAATTTCTAGTCTCATTACTGAATATACTCTGAAAATATACCTAGGTAATATATTTTAGCTAACTATAATGGGAAATAAATTATGTAGCAAGTTAACTCGTAATAATTATACATATAAATAAACATTGTTGAAGTCACAATTATATGTTTTTCTACCCCAAGGGGTATTATAAGCAAAAGAGAAGTGTAAAAGTAGCCCTAAAAATTAAAAATGTAGAACAGCAGTAAAGAAGCAAACCAAAGACAGGGTAAATTTCACGATAATGTTTTGGATTTTTACTTATCTATCGAGAATTCTGCCCCAGGATTACGTTAGAACTCCATTGTAGAACTGTATTCAGTGTAGAACTATATTCAGTGTAGAACTATATTCAGTGTAGAACTATATGTATATTTTCCATGTAAAATAGAGGTAATATTATTCTATTATTAAATTTGCTCCAGGTTTGTAGAATTAATAAGCCATGAAGTTAAAGACTTTTTTGGAGACAGTGTCTCACTCTGTCACCCAGGCTGCAATGCAGTGGCACGACCATGGCTTGCTGTAGCCTTGAAGACTCCTGGACTGAAGAGATTCTCCCACCTCAGCCTCTCGAGTAGCTGAGACTATAGACACAAATCATTATGTCTAATTCATTTTGTTTAAATTCCTAAAGAGATGGGGTCTTGCTATGTTGCCCAGGCTGGTCTTCAACTCCTGGTCTCAGGTGATCCGCCCTAAGTGTTGGGATTACAGGAATGAACCACCACACCCAGCTCAAGACTTTTTTTAAAAAGTAGAACATTTGATACAGATTTATATTCCCTTCCATTAACCTCCACCCCCAACATCCATAGTGATCTCGAAGTTTTCCCAGAATATATGCTATTCTAGTTTGTGGGTAGAAACTAAAATAAGTTTGTACCTCTCTTGATCCCTACTCTCTTTCTTTTTTTGAAACTAACTCATCCACATTAATTAAAAGGCTCCAAAGGTGAGTGTCCTGTGTGAACAGGGGAATTGAGGTGCAGCTGTCCGGAGGCCCTGCTGGGATGCAGTGGCTGGACTTCATCAATGATTCAGCACAGCACAAGGAGTACCTGGCTTTAGACCATTATGTCTGAATGAGATCACATGATTTATCTCTCAGAAGCTCTTGGAATAATAAAAGATAAAGAGAAGTGTCAGTCTTCAAATTGTGAACTTATCAAAACATTTAATATCTAAGGTGACACACTAATTGAATTCATTTCCTAGAGAAAGTATGACTAGATGATATCTACCCTAGCAGCTTGGGAACAGAGATTTTCAATAAATTCCTGGGGGGGGTGGGGGGGTGGAGAACAAAACCGTGACTAGTAATATGCTATAAATGTAAGAAATTATTATAAAATTTTTTCTTCAGGAGAGAGAATAGTTAGTACTCAGTAGCTTTAGACATAAAATCAGAGCACAGGGGTTAGAAGAGTAACCCCGAGAGCCAAGCTGTATTCAAACCCCAGTTCACCCGTTTACTAGCTGAGGGCTTTTAGATGTCCTATGCCTCAGTTTCCTTATCTGAAACATAGAATTACCACAGTCACTAATTCATAGGGCTCTTGAGAGAATTAAATAAAATAATATATACAAAAGATTTAGCATAATGCCTGGTACATAGTAAGCCTTTTTGACTGTCAGCCTCTGTTGTTATTGATGATGTTGGTGATGACAATGAAATGACTGACCCGACACTTATTAGCAGAGAGACCTCAGAGACACCCCTCATTCTGTAGGTCAGGTTTTTTATCTGATAAAAGGGGACAGGAAACTGCAACAGTGGGCCTTGGTTAGGTCTGAATCTTGGCCCTAGCAGGGGATACACCCGTCAGCTTTTTCTGTGCTGCCTCCAGTCTCATTGTAAACCCTGCAGAATTATCCCTGTATAGTTGCCTGCATCTTTAGGCAGACAGGTACACAGCCAGATCCTCCAGAGTGTCAAGTAGGGAAGGATTCAGGAGGTAGAAAGAAAAACAAAAAGCAACCCTGCGAAAAGGCAAATGGAGCCTTATCTTCAATCCACAAGGATAGAATTCCCTGCAGGTTACTAAGCATTCCATGGAGTCACTGGGACCCTGGGAAATCATACCTCCATTTAGGAGCATGTTCTATCTCCATAAGTCCTTGAGCCCTCAGCCATTACAAAACAACTTGTACATATTCTAATTGGATTCTTTTGCCAACGGCATTGCCACCTATTGCAGCAATCACGCAGAGGTAGGACGGACACGAAAACTCCAGACTCCACATGGCCAATTTGATTTGGAGAAGACAAAAACACACCGTAGGGGCAGAGAGGGCTGGCATGCCGATGGCAGCCCGGTCTTCCTGGGCACTCAGCCCCAAAGCTTTCTGGGGTAACACGAGGAAAGATGACCATCAGCAGAGGGCAGCCGCTGCCTCCTCCAGCAAAGATGGTTTGGCACACAGAACTTAAGAGTCACAATCTGAAGAGACCATACTTAACATTTCTCTAGGTGTTTCTATTAGCTGTCTCCCAAAAGGCAGAGACAGCAGGGCTTTTTCACGAGAACTCAGCTGAAAGCCTCATGAGGAGCCCAGCTGGTGGGAGGCTCACTCAGTGTAAAGCCATATCTCATTTCATCTGTGCACACACTCAGAGTGAAGCAGTGAGGATGGCGGATGCCCAGTGATCCTCTAAGCCACAGGAAGATGGGGTCAGCAGGCTGTTTCTCAGCAGAAGGTAGATCCTCCTGAGGCTTTATACAGAGGAGGCATTGCGGGCAGAGCTGAGAGGAGTCCTACTCTATGTGGGAGGGATCGAACAGAGAGGATGACAAAACAAGGCAAGCTACATAGATACCAGCAGTTTTAGATGTGCTGTGGTTATGGAAATACTATCCTTATTGTTTTTCTCTTAAAAAACTTGGCTGCTGATAAGTACCATTTTCAAGTTTTCAACAGTGAATAAGTTTCTTTTTTTTTTTTTTTTCCTTTTTTTTGAGACAGAGCCTCACTCTTGTCACCCAGGCTGGAATGCAATAGTGCGATCTTGGCTCACTGCAACCTCTGCCTCCCGGGTTCAAGAGATTCTTCTGCCTCAGCCTCCCGAGTAGCTGGGGCTACAGGTGTGAGCCACCATGCCCAGCTAATTTTTGTATTTTTAGTAGAAACGGGGTTTCACCATGTTGGCCAGGCTGGTCTCAAACTCCTAACCTCAAGTGATCCGCCCTCCTTGGCCTCCCAAAGTGCTGCGATTACAGGCATGAGCCACTGTGCCCGATCTAACAGTGAATAACTTTTTAACCATGTCCAAAATCTTTCCCCTTTGAAGCAGTGGAATTTTGGAGCTTTCTGAGATGAGTACAAACTATTTAGCTAAACTTAGTTTTAATAAGAATAGTTGCTGAAAAATTATTTTCTATAAGGATCAAGCAGAAAATCAAAAGTAGTTGATTGAAAAGTCTTCAGTTGAGTTAATAGTAACATGCTGGTTTCTTAGCATGAACAGATGTACCTTAGGACTGTAAGATGCCAACAACGGGAAAAACTGGGTGAGTGGATATAAAAATTCTCTGCCTTATCTTTGAAACATTCTATAAATCTTAAATTATTACAAAGTAGAAGGATTATTTTATTTTTTGAGACAGCATCTCACTGTCGCCCAGGCTGGAATTTAGTGGCGTGATTTCAGCTCACTGCAACCTTGACCTCCTGGGGTTCAGGTGATCCTCCTGCCTCAGCCTCCTGAGTAGCTGGGACTACAGGCATGCACTACCACGCCTGGCTAAATTTTTTTGTATAATTTTTAGAGACAGGGTTTTACCATGTTGCCCAGGCTGCTCCTGGGCTCAAGTGATCTTCCTGCCTTGGCGTCCCAAAGTGCTAGGATTACAGGCATGAGTCACCATGCCCAACGAAGATTTATTTTAAAAAAAAGAAAAAGAAAAAGAAAAGAAAAGAAAAACTGACTGAGAGAGAAAGTGTTCAATGGTAAAAATATCTAGGGGCTTTCAAAAGTTTTGTTTAAAAGATAAATATGAGTTTATGGCCTTATATTTTAATGTGGTCAGAAAAAAATTGGTAACTGCTAAGATTCATCATTTCCAAAGTGATGCATGGCACCTAAGTATACTAAATTGAAATGATATTAAGATAATACAACTAACATGTGAAACAGATGCTTGATTTTCAGGCATAATTTGGTTCAATAGAAGATGGCATTTCTGGACTTAGATACGTCCAAGAGAAGCTGGCACCATGTCTAGGGCTTTGCCAATATTTCAAGTTTTAAAAATATTGAATAAAATAAGTGGTTTAGATCTATTAGAAATCTTGGTTTTTGTCCACAGCTTCTGCAGCTGTGATGCTAGAAATAATGAGGAATGAGAAATGAGGAATAGTGGCCTTCCCATTTCTCCTTCCTTTAGGGGAAGATGGGGTTGGTAAAAACACGGTGTATAAGATGGGGTGATGGAA